TTTTTGGTGCATGGATTCTTTCTAACTTTTTCCTTTCATATCTCCCACTCTATCGGTCGCGCTCTCCAAGCGACCGAAATGTATGTGAAAAGTTCAACTTCATTATGGTAGAATGAAATGGAACAACGCACCACTCCAAAGCACTTACTAATAATGACACAATTCTGCAAAGAGCCGAAATGAAAAATGCAAATGTTGAACTCATACACAGGTACACAGATCATGGCCATCAGAAAAATAGCAGCAGCACACAAAAAAATGCTAGTGTTTATGGTTACTAAACATATGGCTGCCACTTTAAAACCAGAAATTTGTGCTAATGCGTTTTACCATTTGCCGTCGTCGTCGTCGTCGTCATTGTCGTCTCCGTTGGGACGCGGCAGCACATAACCATGGCTCAAACTCACACCGGCCAAATGCATTGTACACACAAAGTAGCAAGATGAAACTTTGTCAAGTATGCAAATGTTGTGTTGCCTTAATTTCGAAGAATGCTAAACCACACGGAATGTCAAATTTGCGTGTGTGAGTTAGGGTGTATGCTGGTTTTTTTTGCCGAATAAATTTGTGGTCATTCTTAAGTACCTGCATGTGGAATCCATCAAGCTTTTTGAGTGCTTTTTTCCCGACTCTATCGCTCTCCCACGACGACTTTTTCTCGGAAACTTTGCAACTATGTCGGTTGATGAATTTTCCCGGCGACAAGTAGAGCATATCACTTTCATCAAGTGGGATCGCTATTACTTTTTTTCTCGGTCCCGTGAGTGGTGTTTCGAGGCATACCTCAACTTTGGTCATTTACATTATTTTCAACATATCAACACCACATATGCAAAAGCCACACATACTTAAACCAACCTATGCAAATTATTTTGTGGACCGCATTTAGGTTCATTAAAGGTATCTTGTTGTTTGCTGCTTACATAGTTTCAATCAAACCATCAAATTGCGTATTCACTTTTGGTTGATATGCAAATTTTTTCAATGATACACTTTACTCTGTATCTGACAAAGTATATGTGAAACGATGAGGTAAAGTATTTGTGTAGAGTTTTTGGTTTCCGCTTTTTTTCGTGTAACATTTTTTTTTTTTCGTGCAACAACCGATTGCAAACAATCTCCAGGTTTCAATCATGTGCCGTATTTGTCAAAATTGATTGATTCATTCTACCTGTTCCTTAAATGATCATTTTGGATTTTGGATTGATGTATTTACGCGTACAATTGAGGCAGACGAAAAATATGTCGAGATAAATGAATGCCATTCGAAATGGATGGCTTAGGTGAACGCATCAGATGCTGACTTAAATTGTCCATGACAACACGGAATCTTATGAATATTTTTCGTTCAATGAATCAGAATATTGAAGATAGTGTTTTCTTTTGCCATTTTTTTTCTTGCTCGTCTACACACATTGCCTTTCCAAGGGAAAAAATGAAGAACGATAGACTATTCATTCATTCATATAGATTTACATTTCATTTTGAAAAAATCCATTCAAATGCTTGCCATTTCAGACTTTCTTCTTTTGGAACAATTTCTTTCAACAAAAAAGGAGGAAGACTATAACCCTTTTTGAAAGCTTATTTTAGCCGTTTTTTCTTCGTCTATAAGTCTCATTTTGTCTATCACTTAGTGGCTTTTTGAATTATCAAAACGATTTTTGTGTGGGTGTGGGAATATTTGCATGAATTTTTCATTCTTTTATTCTCTCAACATGAGAATATTTAATTCCGTCGTAGAGTGACGTCTTCGTAATCGTCTGTAAATAAGACGCCTTGTGGGAAATTTGTTCGAGCAAAAGTCGGAAAACGATGGCAAACTGTGATCAAAAGGCAAAGTGGTTTCAATTTGATTTTGTGCGCGCGAAATTCAGTTAAAATATTAAACTAGCATCGCAAATTTTGATCATGTCCAACACTTTTAGCTGTGCAAATTTAATGCTGAGAGCAGAACCGTGCCATCAGCAGCAACAGCAGCAGCAGTAGCAGCAGTAGCCGAAGATAATGTCGAAATCGTCTTCATTTGCATCAAATGAGCATAAATTTCGTTCATGTGCCATACAGTAAATTTCAATATAATCTATAAATCATAAAATTTATCTCCATTAAATTGATATTTACGCGGCGAAATTATAGATACATTGTAGTCGGAATTCTCGGGTGAGTGTACAATATGCTGTTTTAAATATAAATATATTATGATTTTCGTGCACACAGCGTACAGTCGAACCGTATTTGATATTAGATAACGGCCAAACGAAGTTATGATATTCAAGATGAGCGCTTGAATAGACACGAGAGTTGTTCAAGCACCAACAAGTAGTTGCTACGCCGAATTGTAATACTCTCTACACCCATTTGAGCAAATACGTTGTTTCGTTGGTTTGAACCAAATTGAAATTTACAACTTCCGATCTATACAGTGTTGCATTTGGCACTTGATGTATGGCCATTGCACATAATGCATTTTTGCTCAAGTGCACGCGGCTATTTATGATGAGACTCAATATTTATGGTAAAACGGCGTATATTGATTATTCCTTGATGCGCTTTTCTTATGCGTTCAATTATGCTCATCTTTCGAAAGATCTAAATCCCGCCATTTTCGAAAATATTGTAATTCATTTGATTGGAGATAGTGCCTCGAATTTTCCGGTATATATAATCATTCGCTATTAGCACAATTTTTATCCATACAAATGCGTAAAGTTTTCGAAGCTAATTTTCACAATCAATTTGCAAACTACATCATACCATGTCTATGTGTCGATACATTGAGATTGATAAGAGATAGTGATTCATTTGGATGTGAGCGCAAAGCGACATTTGTGTCGGATTAACGGAACTCTTGTGAAGATTAATATGGTATCAAGTCCCTTTCATTCGGTGGACAATAACGACGGCTCTATCGTCTTATATGTATCTATGTTTCTCTTTCAATCGAGAGTCGAGAGTCGAGAGTCGCTCATTCCGCGTGTCTCATCTCGATGCTTCCGTCTTTATTTTTATTGACACTACTCAGCCGATTTTCTAACTAATTTGTTAATAGTATGTAGTGTTAGTAGCCCATATCTACGCCCTGTATGTGTACTATCTCAATTCGATGTTAATAACCAGAGGGAAATTGTTAGTCAGAAATAGAGAGATAAGATAGTTTAGGAGGAATAGAAGGAGGAAGAGAAGAAAAAAACAGACAAAGAAGTATCATATTGGGCGAAAAAGAGAAGAAGAATTATTTAGCCGGACCTGAATCATTGGGAATGGCGCTCGAATTTCCTCATCCATCACTTTGCAGTAAAGTTTTTCGGGAAATACTGGCGGCAAATCATTCACATCTCGTACGGTTATAATAATTTTCGTGTGATTTTCGTTGAGACTGTCTGACGCCACAAGTGTTAGCTCGTACTGTGTTTGATGGTTGTGAGACGGTTCAAAATGGGAGAGGGGAGCGCGTCACATACACACATGCAAAAGATAATTTATCGCCAAGCACGCATTTATATCCATTTTGATTCCGTACAATAAATTTAGTTTCGTCGGTTGTGTTTGAGTTTTTTTTTTTGTTGCGTTTGTTTGTTTGCCGGAACCGAGAGTGTGCATCCCAAAATTGAATATCAGTGTAGAAGTTTACAACATAACAAAAAAGAAGAGAAAAAAATCAAGACAAAAATAAATAAATAAAAACCAAACTAAGACAGATAATGAAATGACTGCGACGAGACAATCGCAGCCAAGCGAAATAATCAAAACTCATCGATACGAAACATTTGCGTTCGATCGAAACAAAGTCTGGAATAAAATCAAAAACAAAACAAAAACCGAGTCAGGGTGGGGGGAGAAAGACGAAAGGCAAAACCGATAAACATTGATAACAATACTGCAACATTTATCACCCAAACATCGAAATTCCAAATGATGTAACATACTTCGAATCAAAAACAATTCCGCTGAAAACCATTTCGAATTAGATACGTAGACCAATACACAACGAATATTTTGTTCGGTTTGATTCAGGTTGTCAGCGCGACAACGACGACGACGACTGTGGCCGAAATTCCGAACGTAAATCAATTCGGAGAAAGGTCTGACGAGAGTGACGGCATTTTTGCAATGGAAATTGGTGTCCATGAGCTCAAGCAAAATGCCACACATTCACTAGACACACGTTTATTCAACGCGATCTCATTCATCCTTTAGCACCATTTTTTTTGGAAACAAACAAAAACACATTGAGATTGAAAGTGAAAAACACAGATGGGAAAGAAATTTTTTTTTTTTGATCGAAGATTTATGTAGTCAAAGTCACAAAGTTCGCATATGTCTCTCCATCTCTTGTACAGTTTCTTGACGGTCGACTCAATTTGCTGGTTGCTTCTTTTTTTTCGTCGTGGCGACGACAACGACGGCGACGACGGTGACTTGAACTTCATCTATCCTTTCAAGATAAATTTTCGATGCGTGACTTTTACTCAAAATGAACTTTTTCGTTGAGTTCGGTTCGATCGTTCCCCAAGTACATACAACACGCTTCAACAAGGAAGAAATATTTGAGTCAGTTTTTGTTCCAACTTTTCAAGTCGATTTGGCGTCGGTTTTTCTTACTTATTATATGAGTTGAGCATATAAAAGGATGCAGTTACCAATTTGATGGTCAGTTCATATGGTGCAAGGAGAAATCCAACGAAAAAAATGTGAAACAAAACAAATGTTGGCGAGATGATTTATTGCGACGAATCACAGATGGAAGAAATCAACGGAAAACATGAAATTCAACAATAAAACCAGACAACAAAACGACTGCAAAACAAATGAATAATGGCATTACACGTTATGAAAAACATAAGGAAGAGCCAAAGATAGAAAACAACGCAAATTACACATGGTTCATATGATAAAGGGCTACATTTCTAGAATACAAAATCAAATGGGATGCAAACATTGGAGCGAGAAAAAAAAAATCAACAACAAGCAAAAAAAGTGATTGGCTTGTCAATGACCTGTAAGACTCGTTTGGGTAGATTTCGATCGTCCTCTTCCGTGATTTGTGTGCGATACGTTGGCCGCTCAAATACTGGCGGATTACTGAAAGACAGATAAAAACCCCATGACTCATTCCGTTTGGAAAATGCCCGATGATTGCAGAAGATCCATCGATGGAGAGGTACATTTAAAAGCAAACAATACTTACTCATTGACATCTTTAACGTGAATTACAACGGTTGTGTAGTTTTCCTTTAAATTATCGGATGCCGCTAAACGAAGTTCGTACTGTGCAGCGTTAAAGAAATAAGAAGATGATGGAGAGCATTGAGTTTGAAATTTTTGATTAAGCTCAACATAAACAAAACCAACAAAATAATTAAGAATGATGGAGAAATTGCCATTGAAGTGCCACACATAAAAGCCAGCCTATTCTATTAAAACTTCCGTTCGATTAACATGGTTGGTCGTCCATTTAGTGCGAACAAGTGTTTAAAAACTGATAAATTTCGAATTAATTGAAAAACCAATACAAATTCAATTTCCTTTCGCAGCACGACCATACTCGCCACCACAATTGCTCGTGCACCCATAAACGACGCATTATGTACGTTCCATTTGGCCCCCCATGCTAACATTTCTTCTTTGAAAATTACCTATAAATATTTACGGTCTGTTGACAACGTATATAGATCTCAAGCACGCGCCAAGCAAGCTTAGGTAAACCACAGGGAATTTGATTAACTTGCTTTTTTGTTTGTGCAAAGTTTGCCTTTTCAAAGTAATTCACTGAATATTGAGTGGGAGGGAGAGAAAGATGCTATGACAAAATGGAAAACCACTCAACACTGAATGCAAATTTATTATTTTGGTAAATTCGGCGATTTTGTGAAGCTGTCGGTCTTTTCCAAAGCAGCGCTTCAATGGTAGTATTTTAGATTTAATTTACGATGCAATGTTCAACTTTTTTAGTCGGTCGAATAATTTAGAAAAATTAATTAATCTTAAGAGAAAAACACTTTAAGAAGCATTTCCACATTTTTCACAAAAAAGTTTATCATGATAATAAGCGCATTTTCTTCGGAATTTTACTGAAACAAAATAATGGAAAAACATTTCATCGACAAGTTTCAGCCGAATTCAAACGGTATTTATGTAAATCCAGCTAGTTGCTTGAAGCTGATCCGTTTGTTCTATAGTTTTAGTGCAGTTTTTCCAGTGGAATCTGCATCAGTGGAATCTGCATTCAGGTCGTTCTCTATGAAAAAGCCATCAACTCTTCTTTACAAAAAAAAAGTCCATCATTGAAATAGCTCAAAAGAGGATTGAAAAATGTAAGCCGAGTGGCTCAGTCAGATAAGAGAGCAGCATCAACAGCCAGCTGCTCGCTTTAATGAACAAACTTGTTAATAATGGATCTGTATTTAATTATTTAATCTACAAGTTAATTTTTGATCTCTTTTACACGCAACGAGACAAAGAAGCTCTTTGATGCTAAAAATACAGTCGATCCTATTCATTTGACTCTTTCTCACACTCTCTCTCCCACTTTCGTTCTCTCCCGCTCTCACTCTCTCTCTCACACACTCGCTCTGTCTATCTATTCTTCGTTGCTTTCTTTCGGCGAAAATTATTGTTTCAAGCGCGTGAGCTTGCAATTACTGTCGGCATTCATTCCACTTTTTTTCCCTTCTGAAGTATGTTTCTGGTGTCGTGATTCATTACGATTTCGTTATTGTCCTCTCGACAAATTCCAAATATAGTAGAATAGGACCGAACGCAAAAAATGCACAATCCGAGCACAGCAAAATGTCTCATTATGTGGAATGCGTGATTTAATTTTCCACATCACAGTGCTGTTCGTCTGATGTTTTGTCGAAATAATTATGTGCTGCAGTTTTTTGGTTTGGCGAAAAGTGAACGAACCGAAATGGCGGCGGCAGCAACAGCAGCCGTTGTCGTCGCCATCGTCGTTGTCATCGCCGACGCAAAACTGTATTCATTTGCATGATGTGCTTTTTGAAGCGTGCACACTTGGCGAATGAGCGTGACATCAAATTGATATAATTGCACCAGATAGAATCCGACTCGAAATGAGAGCCAACATCGATTTAAATAATTGCCCGTAATTGAAATTGCGCGCGTGTTTTTTCTCTCTCTCTGTGTTGAGATTGATGTACTTTTTCCATCTTCATCGAATTGACGAACGTCTTTGACCTGATGCCATCAAATGTACAAAATTAGCTCATTTCACCAATGACAACCACCTCTTTTGCATAATTCTGTTGGTTAATTCGGGTTCCTTTTCTCTTGATTTTTTTTTCTCTCTCTTGTCTGTGTGTTCACCTTTATTTGTTTCGTTGTCGACGTGCTCCGTTCGTTTGATGAATGTAAAAGTTTGATTTGGGTTTCGAGTGGTTCCATTGCTGCGGAAGGACAACCAAAGTAGAAAACGAACGAAGAACCAAAAGAAAAAAAATGACCTAAAACCAAAGCAAAATTCAACAACCCCACAAAATAACTGGAATATTTCCAAATAAAATCCAATTCAAATCCCCTTTTACATCCGAAATCACATTTTTATAATTATTCTCTTTTCACATCTCACGTGAGATGCCCTTGCTTGCGGCCAGCAACACCCAAATTAACTGAACGAATGACACAAAAAGTAGAAGAAAACCAAAAAAAAAAACCTAAAAACACAGCAAAACGCGCTACGCTCTGTAAACCCAAAGATAAACCAAACACAAGCGCATCCCTCAGCAAATCAGTTTATTTCAAGCGAAATACTTGAATATGCCAATACAGATGGCATGATCGGATCAGCCGTCGTTGAAATGCGGCTTAATGAGAAACTTTTTCGAATAATAAAAATAACACCCAAAATGGAATTATAAATGTTGTCTCGGTTTTGCAATTGATATGTCGAATAAAATTGAAACGCATTTTACTTACTCGTTTTCTGGTTTCGTAATCAAGAGCGCCAGCGACATAAATCGCTCCTGTCATATTTTTTACTGCGAATGCACCACCTATGTTACCGCTCGTGATCTCATATCGAATACGCGATGCTGCAAAAATGGAATGGAAGAGAGAAAAAAATTCACGAAAACATTAACAAAAAAAAATTGCAGTTTAATCATGAATAATTTCATACTGTGGCAAAATGTAAAAAGTGCAGAAAAACTGAAACATAAATTGAAACAAAAAACGGTAAATGCTGTTGATTTGCTTGTTCTGAATTCATGTAAACGTAAAACAGTGGATGTAATTCGTGGTTAATAAAATAATTGCAACATTTCCTGGCTTTAGTTGGGAATGTAGTTGTAATTTTCCTGTTATTCAGTGCAGATTACTTCCGATTGGCGAATATTCCTTGAAACTTTAACTCATTTACCATTCAAAGGCGATCGAAATTCGGTGTGGTTCATTTAAATTTCCATATTTTGTGGCGCGGCCATGAATTCGAAATGTGCGAGGAAAAAAAGTGTAGATTAAAAATGCAGAGGGACTAATTAAAAACATGTTCCGTTGGAAATTCGCGAAAATTCCATTATAATATGAATTTTGATTTTCGTTCTTTTTTTTCGATTGCCGATGAATTTAATGGGTATTACAGTTTTTATATTCGTATTTTTTACTATATTAATGATTTTTAATAAAAAACATTTCTATGAACGGGAATTCACTTGCAAGAGAATCCCTTGTGGGCAATGTATCGATTTGATTAAGTCTTTTTTAGTCGAAGAGAAATGACCGAGGCTCGATATAACGAGACTTCATTCTAATAAAAACCATCGTTGGTTTCGGAGAAAATTCGCTGTCTCTACCCACATTATTCATATGGATGAGGCATTGAACTCATTTTGCTTGGGGCTTTAATTAAAGTTTGATGCGTCGCAAAATCAATTCCTCATCCCCTCCGAACTTTGGTTGTGAGCAGATATTGTTGGCGCATATTTTGTTGACAAATATACATAGCAAATTTGAAAGCAAAAAAAAACTCAATCTCGAATGAATAGAACATGGAATAAAGCGAAAAAAAGCTCGTCATCGTTCGGAAAGAGAAAAAAACAACTTCGATCTGAATAAAAATGATGAGGTCTTTGAAGGATTCACTAATAAAGTAATCAGTGAATCGAATTATATAGATTTGATCATAAATCAACATCATCAAGACGTTTTGCGTCAATATTATTCATATTTAATATGCAAAACAAACTGAATGCTGAACGAGAGACAGTGAACGAAGTGCAGAATTGAATAACGTGAATAATATTGATGTCTCATTTTTTTCTCTTTCTTCATCTCCATCGAACGCACATTGAATTGAATTTATCCGTGAAGCGTTGAATCGATCAAATCGAACAAGCAATGAATTTATGTGCAATCGACAACACAGCTCACATACTTATTGCAATACAATAAGTTTATGTGCGAAATGAATCATTTGAAATGAATTGATTTGCGCGTGATCGAACGACATCCAGCCAATAGAGATAGAGAATAATAAGCATTTTGAAAAATAAATCGTGAAATATTATTCAAAAAGACACTCAATATGGATTGCGTTCGATTTCAATTTCATTGGACGCGCGAGAGCGTTTGGCTCTCTGTCGCTGTATTAACAGATAAATATACAATTGGTGCACAACAATCAGCCATCGAAACGATGCAAATAAATAAATAAAAAGGGCACCATGAACGAATGCCGTTTTGAGTAACTATGGATGAGAGCGGGAATAAAAAGAGAGCGAAAAATTGAATTTATCCCAGTCGCAGACGGAGACGACAGTCTACCGGTACGTATTTTATTATTTATATATTTGAATAGCATTGGCAATTCTGTGCGCACCGAAAAATTTCATAATAAAAAAGCCCCTTGAGCAAATGTGCGCGCGTGAACGAGAAGTGCATTTAAGAATTTTTCTCGAATTGAATTGAATGTGTTGGTTGTGTGTGTGTGGTTAATCTGGAGTTGAATGTTCCGAATTGGCATTATTGGCATGAAGTGCGAAAATTTTTCACAAGATTTTTTTTTCCAGATATTTCAAAATGAAATTCAATACACTTTGCTGAGCAGAATGAATGCAGAGAAAAGTCAGCAGCAATGATGTTGAAGTAAAAAAGAATGCTCGCTGTTGGTGTCACATTCACGCGGCGTTAATGTACAAAAACACGTAAATCGGTGTATTTCCCACTCGATTTTTGCCCATCATCCTGTTCGATCGCACGTCGTTTCACGATTTTTTTTTTAATGTGGTGAATAGTTGAAAAACGGCTTGTGATTATAATATGCGGTTGCTAGGCGGTTGCTAGGCAATTCAATATATATTTGAATTAAAAAGTATGCAAAAGTCGAACAAAATGGGTGGGTTGAGCTATCAACGAGTGTTAATTCGATTACATCTGAATAGGGATTACATTGTGTGTGTGTACGTATGGGTAGATTAAAAGTTTCTTCTTTTTTTACAGCCGTTCAAAATGGAAAAGCCGTTCAAAATGGAAAATCAATTGAACACTTTTTTTCCGCGTTGAAAGGTGGTTTTTTTTTCTCTCTCTCTCTCTCTCTCTGCGTGGGAAAACGGTTGGTTTTTCCCTTGAAGTCAATATATTTACTTTGGCGAAAGTAAAGAGAACTTTTTATGCTTCGTTTGAGATGAAAAGATGAAAAGCGTTTGAAAAAAGATGTAAAGCGCTGAAAGGCACTAGTGAGTGTGTGCAAATGGAGCAAAGCGCCGAAAATCACACACAGAATCTGAGTGTGAGTCAACGAGGAAATGAAATAATCCAAAGTTTTATGATAGTAAATTCGTTTTATGTCATCTCGTACAGTTGTGCCAACGTTTTTGCTACGCGAAGGATTAACCTACGCTCGAATAACCCATATATTTTATACCCGATGTGAATGTGAATGCCGTATTTGTGGTGCTGTGTGATGTGTTTGGATGTGCTCTCGCCACATTTCGCATTATAAAAACTGCTCGACACACCAAGGAATTATTCACGCCATCTAACTTATGCAAAGCATGGCTAAATGATGCGATTTGATCCGAGAATGTTAGAAATGAAATCAACTGAATAACTTCGAACGACTATTCTCTGTTCCGAATGAATATGTTGTAGTGCGAAATTGTTCGGTTCTTCTTTCGTTGAAGATATATTTTTCGTTCCGTTTCCCCTTTGTATCTGCAATATTGTCGTCTTAATTTAATATTCAACATCAATTTTGTTAACGTTCCGCTTGAATTTGCCAAAAAAAAAATCACAACGAAAATACTTTACAATGACAAACGAATTTACGCGGAAGGAAGAAAGAAGATTGAAATGAATTTTTTATTTGGAATAAATCAAATGATGATTTATATATGAAATCAACATCCACAAATCGTTCGATAAATGAAAATCGAAAATGCTATAAATACAAAATGAATCGATATTTACAACGATTTTTTCTTCTTTTTTTTGTTGCGATTGCTGACGTAATACTTACATTCATCGTGATCCTTGGCGGTGACTGTGAGTACGGTATGCTGAATATCCTCATTTTCATCAACTTCAGCCTCATAAAGGGCCTTATCAAAATATGGTGGATTATCGTTTTTATCAGCAATACCAATACGAATGAATTTTGTCACTAGAATGAAAAAGAGAAAGAAAATCGAAAATCACATTAACCAAAATGCTATTTGGATGGAAAAAAAATCAATGGGAAAGCTTTCAGCACGACTGAATTCCTGGTATGAGGTCGAAAGTTTTTTGGGTTATTCATGTCGGATTTTTCGTTATCATCCACCGACGAATGGAAAAAATGAGCTTGTGTAGATCCCTGTGAAAATGAAGAAGAAGCTGAAAGAAAAAAATTCCGACCATTTTTGGACCAGTGTAAATAATAACCCCTTTTCACTGGGCTGAGCTGTTTAACAGCACCAATCCTCGCCGAAAAAACCACAGCAACCCGGGCAATATGTCTATTGAATGCGTGCTGTGCGCTACGCGCTAGCACAGCTCATTCTGTTGATCTAATTAATTTGTCTCTTGCTGTTTGTGTTTACTTGGTGAGAAAACGCAAATTAATAGCGCTCTCAACTTTTACTCTGTCACTCTTTCTCTGTGTACTTTCGTGTTCTCGTCAAGTTTATGTTTGTTCGATCCGGACGTCGCCGTTGTATGCTGTGTACGAAACAATAAACTCTCTCTGGTTTTCATCATTTGATACTGGAACGAAAAACTTTTGCACAAAATATCATCACCACCACCGCCGCGTCACAATTTTGGGGGGTTTTCGTAAAATATTTACAGTGATTTGATTGCGACGCGGTGATCCATTTCCCACGGCTATTTCCACAAACACTCGTGCGTCCATTTCACTTTGTGTGTGTGTGTGTGAGATTTTTTCGCTTCGCTACAACGAAATAAATAACCAAATGTGCTTAATCGCGACCACCCGCCTGCGGACGACACATATTTAAAACATGATGTTATAATGTGTCATTCGTTACAAGCGTTTTTTTGTATGTCGCTCTCATTCTGTCTCCAAATTATTTAAATGAAATTCAATCCTGTTTTTACGAATTATACGACATTCAATCGGCCCAGACAAGCCATGTTTTTTTTCGTTTTTTTATTCTTCCAACAGAGAGTGTCGCTGACATATTTCTCGTGCTTTTTTATTGTTCTCTCGGTTTCAGACATACTTTAACTAGCCAAGCTCTGGGCTGTAATTATGAAAATCAGTTTTTATTGCAACAAAAGCGACCATTGATCACCATTTCCAAGTATTTTTTTGAAGAGAGAGGCAGTGAGAAAAAAACGACTGATAACATTCTGCCTAACGACAACCATCTAGGCGTGATTCGAAATTCATGAAAAGCGATCTTTCCACTTGAATGTGAATTGATTTCTTTTTATCACTTTGAAGCGAATTAAAAACGGTTTTTTGACAAATACCCTTTTTCACGGTGAAAATTGCAAACTTCACATTCCTCTTGTTATTAACACTGATTCCACTAGATATTCAGTGAGTGCTATTCACTCGAAGGCAAATCTCACTGAAAAATACTAACCGAATTAAATTGGAAATATAATTGGGTTAAAATGCGCCTCTTTTTATACATTGTGTAAATGAATTGAAAAAGGTCTTCTGTCAATAATCACGTTTAAAGAGTTGCTTCGCTAGCAAGTTACTCCGTAAGAATTGGCATACATTTCAAAAGTTGTGCTGAAAAGTAGTCGGCATTGAAGTAAAATAACGAATCAAATGGAAAAAGCACTATATAACTGCTATACAATAAAGCAACATGTTCAAATAAAAAACGATGACTGTATGTCGCTCAAGAATGACCTATTTCAATTTGTAAAACGGATACAAATCAATAAATTAATTTTACTCATCGGTTGAAGCCCTTGTACAATGTACATTTTAAATGTTATTTAATTCCATCTTCTGTCGTGTCCGTAAGGCCGTATTGCTTCGTCAAAGACATTTTTTCTGTTTCGAATCTTGAAATTCCAGATACGAAATACAAGTTGTATTAACAACAACAATGATAACAACAAAAACTATACACAAAAGAACGCAAAAAGTCACAGAAAGAGAAAAAGAGCCCGAAAAGTCTCTCTCTCTGTGAGAGAGAGAGAAAGAGAGAGACCCAATGAGGAATTATGGTATTCTTGTAACGCGTATTGTATGAAAGTGTACACCGTTTGTGCACACACTGTGTACATTTTCATTACAAAATTGTTACAGATTTGTACACATTCCTCATTGGGGAGAGAGAGAGAGAGAGAGAGAGAGAGAGAGAGAAAATACGGAGCATTTGACAAAAGATTGAGTTTTTCGAAACGACGATGACGACAAAAAAGAGCGGCTAAATGGAACATATTTCCTTGTACATTCATGCTTGATACACGATCACTAAATGGTTGTGCTGTTTTACTGCTCACTTCGAGACATAATAAAATTATGACCTTCCGACTGAACGAAATAAAAGTGATTTGAAAAATTGGATGTGTACAGTGGCGATAGAGCGAGCGAATGAAGCGCGAAAACGAGAAAAAGAGACAGAGAAAAATGCACATTGAAAATATGATTTATATTTTATATATATACTTGAACGTGTGCTTCCGTTACAAAAGAAAACTGAATGAAGCGAAGAATAGACGACAACGATGACGGCGATGTATTGCTAGAGTGAATTTCGAGTTCAGTGAGATTGTTTTCCTTCGAATTTTATATTTTTCATTTCTAATTCGTTATTTGAAGCAGAGGAAAATTGAAAACGAAACAAATCGACGTTTGAAATGATGTCACTGGGATAAGCTGCATTTGAAGATTGCTGAAACATACGGATTGATTTTCAGGTTTGTGCAATGTCGTCTCTTCTAATGGAGACGAGCTTCAGAGCTCGTGTACATTTGCGAAAAGAAGCACAAAAATGCGGGAGAGATTCACTCAAAATGCTGAAAAGTAGCGGGGATTTGCGTTTCGTTTTCAATCGGTTTTGTGTTTCACCCGTGCATCAATTCATATCATTTGTTCGAAATGCTGTATTCCGCTTCGAAAACTTGGATACTTTTCGCACTGTCGTTTCATTCGAAGCGAACAAAAGGCAAGTGTATCAGGTTCGGAGCACTGCACAATGCATATACATTTTTACTGCAAATAATAATCATTTTGCCGAGATAGAGAGAGAAAATTCGACAAAATTGAATGGCGATTGAATGACGTGAATAAGTTGACTGCTCAAACTATTTTCGGTGCAATTCACAGAGAGAGAACTTTTTTTTTGCTAATGAAGCAATGCTTGAGATTGAAGCACTGAATAAACATGGGTAAATCTACTATTCGAAATAGAAAAAAAAGCAAACAAAAAAAAAAACTTATAATTTCTCTTATTGAACGAACCGAATGAAGCGAACTTTTGTGATGCAGAGAGAATGTTCTCATGCGCGTTGATGATATTGGAAGTTGAGTTGTGGCAGAAAAAAAGAGAGCTAAAGCAAGAGAATGAAACAGTAAGAGTGAAAGTGAGACTGGGAAAGAGGAGAAGGATTGAATAATAATAAAAGCCTCATAACGAATGGAACAAGGAGAAAAACTTTTGGGCGAAATTATGAACTAAACTTTGTTGTTTAATGCTACAATCTGATTTTACTCCATCGATTTCATGGAGTTGTAGTTTTTGCCATACGTGAAGAAAGAAGATGAAATGTTATTACACTTGAGATGGCTTCACATCATTAGTTCGAATGATTTCATCATTTGTTTGTGATTTTTTCGTGTGTATTTGTCGTTGTTGGTGCGTAGGAATATCGATCGGATCATAAATCCACAAGACTAATTACTGGACAAAAGCTGCCAAATGATCTAAATATCATTGTGTTCGGGCGATAAAACGAATGGCTAAAATACAAAAATCAAACATAAGCACTGGCGACACTGGTTCACACCAAGCAAAAACTTATCTCGTTGCTAATGATTTTATTCATACTTGACCTTTTTTCCGCCAATCATCTAGCCAATCATCTTCACTTCGACCATTCAATGTAACATCCACTGACGTCAGCAATGGCTCGTTCAGACAACAATTAGCCAAATGATTCAAACCAAATGATGACACTGATCTCTTCAGAATTGGATCGAATTTTCCTTCTCATGAAATTAATTATGGCCATCATTTAAAATTGAACAAGTTATTGTTTTGGCAACCAAAATCATCTTTTCATTTTGATGCATAGCCAAAGGCCTTGAAACAATGTTGCGAGAGAGAAAAATATGGCATGTTTGGTCAGTTTGATTGGAAAAATTGATGGTGAAGTGTACTACTGACCCAAAAACTGATACACAACTATATTAATAACAGTTCCCGGAATATGGATGTTTTAATCAAAAATTCACCAACGGAATCCATACAATCGAACGAATATTTCATTGAATCGCAATCAATATATTGGATCAAGAGTTATTTGAAAATGTTGTACCAAAGCGGTGAATGATAACGATAATGAAAATAGCACACAAGTAATTAATTGGCTGCTCAATTTAATTGCTTGATTTTCGATGAAGTTTTTTTTGGCTGGCTCAGATGCCTTTACAATATTTCGTGGCTTTTCCGACAGCTTGAATCAATACCCACAAATACTTCCGTGGTAAAAAAAACAGTGGTTTTTTTTCCCTGTTGGCGCGCACAGTTTTAATCTATAAATTTTAATCAACATTTCGTCCTCATGATTCGTGTGCACGAGCGCGCGAGCGGGTGGGTGAATGTGAGTTTGTGGATTGTTGTAGAAATTTATTAAAGGCCCCAAATTGCCATAAATTTCATCCAAAAAATTGCTTCAGCCTGTGAAAACGCGTAGATAACAGAAAGAAAAAAATAAGTGATATCAGGAATGCGAACGCGGCAAACAGAGAGGTCAAGGGGAGGGAAACAGCACAACTTTACCCATTAAATGGCCATATAATAATTGGTTGAATGAACAATGCAATGGCCCTTTGTTTAACCTTTGCTGTTTGTGTTTACTTATTAATTTTTTCAACTTAAACTCCAATTATTTTCACATAATTTTTTGAAGCGATTTAAAATGCAGTCGAAAATTTACATATTTTTGCCGGTTGGACGAGCAATACTCATG